CTCCTGGCCCTGGGGGTCAACTAGCCAAAGCATCTTGGTACTGTCATCTTGGCCGTATGATAGTGAATCATCTTCTCCCTGGCTTCTGGCTCCAATTTTTACATGCATACAATCAATGCGGCAGATCATTACGTGTATAGTTTTACCAGGCTGCCACATGCCGGGCCTAAGGCAGTGGTGGCAAACCTATGGCACACGGGCTGCAATGGGCATGCAGCGCCTGCTCTGTCTGCACGAGAACCGAGTACCCCCAGCACCCGACCATCGGGCATTCACGTTCAATAGCAGTGCTGGCGCTTTGCAATAAATACCTGGGTTTTGTCTCTAAAAGGCCACTGTCACTGGTGTAAGGGGACCTGTTAAACAGTCACCACGGACTCGCATGCTGGACATGGACGTGGGAGCCTCACAGCTCCAAGGCTGTCTACGGTGCTAAGGTAACAGAACCCACCCATGATGCCGGCACAGTCACGCTCGCTTTCATTAAACATTTGGGGACATGTAAAGGCCATGTGCCGTGTACCAAGTATGGGAGTAGGTAACTAGGGACGCAAGACTAATAAGACACAATTTCTGCCATTATTCATTTATCATTTATTCTAAACAGTATGTTCTGGGTGCTGCTCTAGACATGGAATATGACACCGAGCGCAACAGCAAGGTCTTTGGTGTTCTGGGAACTTATACTCTCTTCTTCATCCTCGGAACAGTCAGACACAGCCTAGTCCTCCAGGCTGTGGACTGAAGAGGGCACAGACACCCAGAGACAGCACGCAAGCAGACTGCACCCCGAACAACGGGGACGAGAACAATGCATCACCGCGAGCCCTTAGCCCTGGATGTGCAGCCACGGCTCAGCGCTACAAGGAGATCCGAAGGTTCAACTAGATCAAGGGGTTCCAAATCTTGCTAGTGTCATGGCCCTTCTTGGAAATGTCATTAAAACTAAGGTTTTTCAGAGACATGCACAAAGCTGTACACACAATCTAGGTTCTGTATAAGATCAGATGTTCACGGGCATTCGTTTGAGGACTCTCAACTAGGTAAGTCACTGAAAATCCAACAGCGCTGCTCCATTTTACCTCCTCCGGGCCACCTTGGATTCCAGTGCACAAAGGGCTCAATATCCAATCATTTTTTCGTGTTTTGATACATATGGGGAAAGGAGAGAGGAGAGAAAGGGAAAAGAGATGGAAGGGAGGAGAGACTTCAATGTAGGGAACAAGACATTACGAAAATTATGTAAGGGACACATGGCTGCATCGAGGGTGACTTTCACAACACATCCCCCAAATTCTGGTAACTTCACCACCAGGAAATGGGGGTAGGGGAGGAGGCCTGTGTTCCTCTCTCTTGACTTCAAGTTCTTTGTGTCATTAATAAAATACTGCCCTTCTGGTGCTATGGCAGTTCGTTAGAAGGAGACAGCTTCCTTTTTCCTGTCTCTGGAGATAGTTTTTCTAGAACCCAGCCACTATGCTGAACAGAAGCCCAAGCCCCAAGTAGCTGTCCCTGCTGAACGTCAGCATCCACTGCCAACCTGTGAGAGGACACACAGAGATGAGACCAGCCTCAGCTACTGCGACATTGCCTTCTCAGGAGTCTCTCCAGCTGAGGCACTGGTGGGACAGAAACCAACCAACCTGGTACCAGCCTGTCTAAATTCCTCAGGCAGAGTTCATTAGCCTGGACTGTCTCATACCACTATGTTTTGAAGTGGTTTGTTACATCATAATAGACAGCTACAACATCTTTAAGCTATAAGGGATCATGTGCTATTTCTTACCTGGAAATCAACTT